TCTTGCAATTACTTGTTATGCATCAGAGAGCTGGACAATGACTAGAGATGAGAGAAGGAGAATAATGCCTTCCTTTCAGCTGTGGTTTTGGAGAAGACTATTGAATATACCATGGACTGCTGAGAGAACAAACAGGTTCATCCTAGAGAGGGTGAGACCAGGCTGCTTCTTGGAGGCAAGGATTCTGAAACTTTGTCCAACATACTTTGGACATGTTGCAAGGAGGGAACAGTCCTTGGAGAGGAATGTCATGCTTAGGAGGGTGGAGAGAGCGCAAAGGAGGAAGACCCTCGATGAGATGGATTGATTCAGTGACTGAGGTAATGAGGTTAGGTGTGTTGGAGATAATTTGATTGGCACAAGATAGAGCAGAGTATAGGGCTGTTGTATATAAGGTCACTATGAGTCGCAGGTGGTTGCACACACAGTAACAGCAACAACATACAAAACTTAGACCAAGAAGCTGTTGTCTGAACAGAGCAAGGAATCACTGAATAGTTTAAAATTAAGAAAGGTGTGCATCAGGGTTGTATGCTCTCTCCATATATGTTAAATCTGTATGAATCTGAAACAGTCCGTATGAAAGCTAAACAAATCATTTGAGAAGCTGGACTCTGAAGAAGAATGTGGCATCAGGATTGGAAGAAGACTCATCAACCTGTGTGATTCAGCCTTACTTGCTGAAAGTGAAGAAGACTTGAAGTGCTTGCTATAAAATATTAGAGACTATAGCCTTCAATATGGATTGCTTCTCAACATTAAGAAAACAAAAATTTTTACCATTGGATTGTTAGGCAACATCATGATAGATGGAGAAAAGATTGAAATTGTCAGTGATTCCTCTTACTTGGATCCACAACCAACGCACTTGGTACCAGCAGTCAGGAGATCAGGAAACAGTGCGTTTGGAAAGTCTGCAGTCAATGACCTCTTCAAGTTCCTGAGGAGCAGTGATGTCAGTTTGAAGACTTAAGGTATGTCTGATTCAAGCCATGATCTTTTCAGTCACTTGCTGTGTATTTGAAAGCTGGAAAATCAATAAGGATGACAGAAGAAGAATTGATACCTTTTAGTGTGGTGTTGAAGAGTACTTAATTATCGAGTGGACTGCTAAAAGAACAAGCGAATGTGTTTGGGGTAAATTGTAGCCAGAATGATTCTTGGAAGCAAATATGACAAAGCTTCATCTCATATACTTTGAGCATGTTGTTAGGGGGCTGTTCCTTGGAATGGGACATCGTGCTAAGAAGGGTGGAGGGTAGACAAAAAAGGAAAAAATCCTCAGATGGATTAATACAGTGACTGTAGCAGTGGACTCAAGTGTATCAGAAAGGAGGAGGACAACATAGGGGAGGGCAGCGTTCAAATTTTTTCACAGGGTTGCTATGAACTCGACTCAGTGGCAGCTAAGAGCAGATACGCTGAAGTTGAGAGACACCACTCTGTCTAAACAGCTCTTTTCTTGTATGCTGTTGTGTGGAGTCAAAATCCACCCATAGCTGACCCTCCTGGTAGGTGTTCATAGGCAATATGACATGGCAGGAGAGTGCCCATGCTTCTCCCGTGGAGCACCTGGTGGATTTTAACTGTATACCTTTAGTCTGTAACAGTGTTTGTGGCCTTTTACATCTTGCCTTATATTGTACCATTTCTTCTTCAGCTGTGACTATTCTTAGCTACTTAAATGAGATATTTTTCTTATTCAGATAGTAAACTCCTATTCCTCTTAAGTATAACCAGCATAATAGAATAGTCACTGACGTCCTCCCCAGAGTGCCCCATCTCAACTCACAAACATCTCTTCCAGACTTGAGCCAGACACCCTCCTTCTACTCTCACAGTGTCCACCTACTATGTAGCATTTTGGAAGTTATGGTAAAATGATTTTACTTTCCTGTTCATACTGAGTTTTTTACCAGGCAGTCATTGTTCTGCTCATTTATGAATCTACTAGAAATACCTATCACTTGTTACGTGCTCAGTATATGTTTGGAAAAGTAAAAAATGAAATACACTGGCTATGTAAATGTTAAAATTTGCATTAATATTGAAATAATCTCAGATATAGATGAAAATAGTAATAATGCAAAGAATCCTTCTAGATTGGCCAATTAACATTTTACTGCATTCACTTTTTTTCAATACATATGTGTGTGCAATTTTTAAAGTGTTAAGAGTAAGCAGTTCTTGTCTACAGTGTTTACTTTATTAAGCATGTATTCATTTAGATACTGTTTGTAATATAAAGATAAGAGGCTTTGCTCCCAATAAACCGATTTTTTCAAACTTATAATTTGTAATGATTATGTAGACAATTTCTTGACTATGTATATCTTAATGAGTAGTTTTATTTGTAATTATTAGGTATTAATACAATGAAGAGAGCTAAAAATACAGTAATTATAAAAGTAGAAGTAAGAACTTTGTTGTCGTTGTTGTTAGGTGCTGTTAAGTATGACTCATAGTGACCCGTGAACAAAAGATCTGAACCCTCTTCTATCCTGCACCATCCTCACACTTCCTGGCAGTCACTGTGTCAGTCTACCTGGTTTAAAAAATTTTTTGTTGAATCATAAATACATAAAGTACACTAATCTTAATAGTTAATTAGTTTGCATACATGTATATACTTATATAATCACCATCCTGAACAAAATGCAGAACATTTCTAGAACCTCAGGAGATTATTTTCTGTACCTTTTCAGTTAGTTCTTACTTTTCCCTGTAATTGATAGAGGTAACTACTGTTCTGATTTCTACAAATATTTATTAGTTTTGTTTGTTCTTGAGCTTCATATATATAGAATTATTGAGTAGGTACTCTGATTCATTTCTGAATGATGAACAAAATATCTTTGAAATTAATCTATGGTGTTGTGTTGTAGTGTAAGAGTTGGTTGTTATTCTGTATAGCAGTCCTGCGTACAAACATGTTGCTAAGTGCCATCAAGTCAGGTATGATTCATAGTGACCCTATGAACAAAAGATCTGAACCCTTTTCTATAATTATCGTTGTTTCTCTAATGTTCATAGAGTTTCCAAAGACCTGTTGTTTAAGAAGTGGATACCAGTCCTGCTTCTAAGCCTGCCCTAATCTGGGAGTTCTACCAGTCACTGTCCATGAAGGGTAACCATTATGGCATTTGACACAGCAGTGGCACAGCAGTCAGTATCATAGCAACCCCAATTGTACAGGCATCCAATTTCCTTATTCATTGGACTGTTTCCAGTTTTTTACTGTTAAGAATAAAACCCTGGGGAGCTCTGGTGGCCTAGTGGCAAGAAGCTGCACTGCAATCCCAGAGGTACGCAGTTTGAATCCACCAGATGCTCTGCTGGAGAAGGAGGGGCAATCTCCTGTACCAGTCAGATCTGATTTGACGGTACACACAGAAAATGTAATAAAATTGGGGCGGGGGGGGGGGGAAGGCCTTATTTCTCTAGAAGTGAAATTGCTGGATCATATCTAGCCTGTGTCAATTACATGGAAATAACTCTTTCAGTGTCATTGGTGACCCTGTTACGTCCTATGCAACCAGTCTCCTTCTTCTCTTCTGTATATAGCTCCTTAGGGTTGTCAATGCTGGGGTTTTTTTGTGGGGTTTTTTTTTTCCTTTTTTTTAAGATACTGGGAAGGAGCTATCTAAGCCTTTCTTTTCAAGGTGCCTCTGAGTGCATTCAAACACTTAACCTTTTGGTTGACAGCTGAGTGTATAAGCTAAGCTAACTGGGGATATTTTGTATATGTAAGAATATACAAAGAGAATATACAGAGCTTAAATTGGTCTTTACAAATGAAAGTGCCTGAAAGACTGTAGTTGTTAGGTACTATTGAGTTGACTGTAAGTTAAAAAGTAGAATTGCCCCACTGGGTTTTTTCTAGGCTGTAATTTTTATGCAAGGAGCCTTAGGGTCACAGTAAATTGAGTTGCCACCTGAAAGGTCAGTAGCTTGAATCTACCAGCAACAGCATAGACAGACAATGAGACAGCCTGCTTCTATAATGATATCCAGGCTTAGAGATCCTTAGGGCGTAGCTCTGTTCCAGTCTTTGTTGTTTAGGGTGCTTTAAGTCAAAGTAGATGCAGTGGCAGTAGGTTTCCTTTGATTTAACCTTTATGAGAAGAGATGCCTGATTTTTATCCTGCAGAACTGTTGCATATGTTCCGGTTATCAGACTTTCAGTCAGCAGCTAAGTGCTTAATAATTGTGCCACCAAGGCTCTTTGAGAAAGTTTAGATGTTATTTTATTAAGAAAGGTAGAAAGATATACATGAACTGACAAGGGAAAGAGAGAAGAGAAGAAATGGATATAAATACCTTTACTACATAACCTGTAAGAGGCCTGAGTGTGTATTTTAATGTAAACTGTCCCACTGGCTGACTTGGAGATGCTAAAATAAGAGGGAAGAGATGAAACTCCATTATTAAAGATTCATAGTGGTTTCCAGCCACCAGGAACCCGAAGTCTTTTCATTTGGGGGTTGAAGAAAAGAACTATGTGAAAATAATAAAAATCTTACTCATCAAACCAGTCTGGTACTAGTACAGGTATAACAACAGACATACAGACCCATGGAATAAAAAAAATTGAGAGTTCAGAAATTAACCCACATCTTTAGTCAAATGAGTTTTGACAGAGGCTGAGAAAAATGAGAAACAATAATCTTTTCCCATAAATAGTAAGAAGAAAAGTTGGATTTTTACATACAGAAAAAATGGAGCAGGATTCTGCTGTCTCCTATACACAAAAAGAAAGTGGATTAAGGACCTAAATTTTTAAAAAAACTATAAAATTACAAAATTTTTATGAGAAAAGGCAGTTTCAAACCACTAATCAGTCTAATAGCTTTAATTTTATTTGTACAGCTCTGAAAACAGTATTTTCATGCCTTTAATTGCCTAGACATTTCTGAATTCTTTTTGTTGAAATAAAGCTTAGTAAACTGGAGGTCTAATAGCTGAAATTAAAAATTTGAACCCAAATTTGTTATTTCTAGGTCTTTGAAGAAACTGGTTTTGATATCAAAGACTATATTTGTAAGGATGATTACATTGAACTTCGAATCAATGACCAGCTTGCTCGTTTGTATATCATTCCAGGAATTCCAAAAGATACAAAATTTAACCCGAAAACTAGAAGAGAAATTCGGGTATGTAATAATTAAAAATATTTTTGCCTTTTGGTAGGCAGTATCTTGAATTAATGAAGTAGGCAATTGTTTGTAGAAGTTCCTTTATATTAACTAAATTTTTTATTTCAGAACATTGAGTGGTTCTCCATTGAGAAATTGCCCTGCCATAGAAATGATATGACCCCCAAATCCAAACTTGGTTTGGCACCTAACAAATTTTTTATGGCCATTCCATTCATCAGGTATTTTAGGTCTTTTTTTATAATATAATACAAAACATGATTTTGATTATGAGATTTTTTTTTTACATACCAAATTTTTTTAAAAAACGAAACTTTAATGTTCTTTCCAGACCACTGAGAGACTGGCTTTCTCGAAGATTTGGAGATTCCTCAGACAGTGACAATGGATTTTCTTCAACTAGTAGCACACCAGCTAAACCCACTGTGGAAAAATTAAGGTAAAGAATATATATCCAAAGGATTCTGAGTTTCTGTTAGTTCAGTTATATTTTGCTTCCAAAATTTGAGAGGGGTAGAATTGCTCTGTTTATGTCTTCATTATGGATCTAATGCAATTTTTTTCCCCCAAGGATTTTGATACTTGGAAAAGGAGCTTCAGACAAAAAAAGAGGGGGGAGAAATAATGTACTTAAGGTCCTAGTTTTTTTAGAAAGCTTAAATACGAGGGGGAGGGTAAGTGATCTGTGTGTATGTGTGTTTGAGTTTTAATATAGTTAACTCTCTGGTCTCTTGTCCTATTTGAGAGATAATTGACTTCTGTGGAGGTTTGATTGTGGGTATATTGAGATCTGTTTTTGTACAGGGGAGACATGAGAAGTGCCAATTAAAAGTAAAAATGTTATTAATTATATTTCCCCCTTACTTTCCATAGCATTGATTGTGCATATTGGCCCCCCAAATTACAGTGATCCCACACACAAAGAAGTGAAATGCTACGTGGTCCTGCACATGCTGTTGGCATTCATACTGATTGAACAGTTGTGCTTATTTTTGAAAGTCTGTTTCCAGGCTTTTCTTTCCACTTTGTCATAGGCTGCAGGCTCCACTGAAACCTGATCAGATGGTAGTAGCATGTAGGCTTCTCCTGACAGGTAGCCACGAAGCAAACCTAGTCTCCTGCATGGAATGGGAGAATTGTGCCACTGAGCCACTACTGTGTGTGTGTGTGTGTGTGTGTGTGTGTATTATAAGTGGCTGCTATTAAATTGACATGAGCTGCAAACAGCATTTTTTAATAGGAACATGATTAAATCCAAGTAACAATTACATAGCAGCCTGGAGAAATAACTTTATATTAAGTAAGATGTGCATGAATGCAACACAATGTATTATTGTATAAATACCAATAAAGATTTTTACACACATACCAAAAAAATAATTTTTATATATATAAATTTTTTTTTTTGTAACAGACTTGTTAGGACTTTGGCTATGATAGTAAATTCAGAGTTCTTGTTGTTGTTGTTATGTGCTGTCGAGTTGTTTGCGACTCAGAGACCCTAGAGACCTTAGGTACAACAGCCCTAAACCCTCCTCTATCCATAGCCAATCTTACTGTCTCCAACATACCTCCTAATCTGGATATGTGTTTATCCTAGAGCTTCAAAATGTAAATGGTAGAAGTAAGCCATGTGTAGAGTCAATTGTTTTAAGCAGATAGGTAGTATTCCATTTAAGTCTTGTTTTCTGGGGCATAGAGTCTAATAATAAATGTTTTGAGAGTCATTTTGGCTCTCAGAACCTGTGATTGTTACAAAATTATATAAGACATAAGTGAAACCATGTAGAAAATGTAAGATAGAGAAGAATGAAGTTCAAAAGAAACAAAGGTCCAACTAAAAAGTATAAAAAATGGACATAGTGTTGAGGCTGGGGAGGAGTGTTGGATGAATACTCGTCTGGGAGCAGCTGTTTCCCTTAATTGTGTTGTGTGATTACCAAGGTTTGTGGTCTTGATGGATGAAATAAATAATAAAGCAACTTCTCAAATAAGATTTTTAGTTAACATTTATGTAGGGTAGTGGTTATTTATTTTTTTATTTAAGCAGTATTTTGTGTATAAGGAATATCTATGATGATACATTAGAGGTAATGTCTGAATTTTGTCTAGAGAAAAGGTAAAACAATTTAATTACACTTTTTCAATAGGAAAAGGCAAGCTCATTCCGAAACTTTTAACACATTTCTTGATACTATTGAATCTGAGCTATATTATACTTTTAAATGGTACTAGGTGAAATTTCTTACCTTAGATTATAAACCACTAAATGCACAAGAATTTTAGACCAGATTTTTATTTAATTTTGGCATCTCATTGTCTTGGGACCCTAAATTTTTTTGCTTTAGAATGTATCTCAAATCCTAGTCTAGTATGGATGAGACACATAGCTGACCTGTGTAAGATCAGATTTTATCCTTTAGTAATACTAGTAAGAATGAATTTTCTGTTCAATTAAGAGGGAAAAGCTATACATTTGTTTTGTGGCAACTAAACTGTCTTTAAAAAGCTGGTAGAGATTTAGAAAATAGCTTCTTAATTCAACAACTGTTTCTTGAATTTTAGGCTCTATTTTAGGTATGTGCTAGAGCAGTAGACAGACAAGAATCCTTGCCTCTAAGAGAATTTGCACTCCAGTGTGTGTAGATACAAAGTAAATAAGAAAGTAAAATGCTTGATATGTAAAAGAAAGTTAAGTGAAATTTCTCTTGTTCTGATATTTATATTTTAAATTTTGGTGTAGTCGAACCAAATTCCGCCACAGCCAGCAGTTATTTCCAGAAGGCTCTCCTGGTGACCAGTGGGTAAAGCACAGACAGCCATTACAGCAAAAGCCATACAATAACCATTCTGAAATGTCTGACTTTTTAAAAGCAAAGGTGAGTAATGTACATTACAGAAATTCAGACCTTGTGATGAATCGAAGAGTTTCCATAATGTTTAACTCCACAAACAAATGATAGCTTAAAGAATTCTAAATTGTAGGGATGCGATTTCTTAACTTTTATAGTTTTTATATAAATCTGGTGTGGTAAATAGGAGGAATTAACATCTGTCTTTGATAATATACTGCCAGCAGAGATTTCATTTAAAAATAAACGAGAAAAGTATCTTTCAGATAATATCTGTATTTAGATTTCATTTAAAAATAAATGAGAAAAGTATCTTTTAGATAATATCTGTATTTAGATATTTATTTCAGATAATATTTTATTGAGGGAAAAAGAAATGTAAAATTTTAATTCTGCTTTTCTTATTGTTTTCATAAAAGTAAAAGAGATAAAGAATACTGGGACCCAGTAGAGTAGCTAAAATAAAAACAGACATAATACAAAGTATAAGTTAGACTCCAAAGTAACTTGAGCTCTACTATTTTGATGGGAATTTATTATAGAATTGCTTGTGAAAATGGGATGTGTGTGTGTGTGTGTGTGTGTCCTATCTATGAAAGTAGGTACACCTAGTGACCTAGCACTTTCTTTCTTATTTTATATACTTCATCACAAGGAATATACAAGCAAAGAATATGTCCTTAGCAGTGGAATGAATGGATAATAAGTTATGATACAGTCACACAGTGGAACACTATACAGCAATGCAAATGAATATTATTGATTTATTATGCAAAATATGTTGTTGCTATTAATGGCTGCCGAGTTGAGAGTGACTCAGGGTGGTCATGTTTAAAAGTACTCCAAAACAGCTATGAGATATCATCTTACCCCAGTAAGAATAGCAAAATTTGACAGAGTAGCAAACAACAAATGCTGGCGAGGTTGCAGAGAAACTGGAACCCTTATTCACTGTTGGTGGGAGTGTAAAATGGTGCAACCACTATGGAAGGCTCTGTGGCGCTTTCTCAAAAAAGTTGCACATAGAAATACCAATTGATCCAGCAATTCTTTTACTGGGAATATACCCTAAAGAGACCATAACTGTCACCCAGGTAGATTTATGCACACCCATGTTTATCGTGGTTTTGTTCACAATAGCAAGGAGTTGGAAACAACCGAAGTGCCCATCAACATAACGAATGGATAGAGAAGCTGTGGTATATTCATACAATGGAATACTACACTGCCTTGAAACGCAAGGGACTTATGAAATATTATTCAAAATGGATGATCCTGGAAGACATTATGCTGAGTGAAATATCTAAGTCACAAAAGGACAAATACTGCATAGTGCCATTGTTGTAGAAAGGGACTGACATCAGGGTTGGGGTGAGACTAAGAAAAAATGGATAAATTATGTATACTGCATTGAAAGAGATGAGGGAGAGAACAGTCTAAAAGCGATATATGATTGGGTATTATGGACATGATAAGAGTCCAGAGTGAAGGCTGCATAGTGGAGTATACTGGGGGAGTGGGGAGGATTGCGTACTAATGAAAGAATTTTACTTTTCAAAGAGAAGGGCCAACTGAGGGGAAGGGGTGGGCAGGGAGAAAAATGCAACAATGAATGGAAATCCAAAATCTCTGTGAATGTTCATTAAAATTAAAAAAAAAAATAAGATTACTCAGTCCTGCATCATTTTTAAGATCATTAATATGTTTATGTTCTGCATTGTGGCTTTTATGCTTCATTATCTTTATCATCAGGGGATCTTTTTTGACCTAGTGATAGAAAGTGATGCTAGCAAACCAAAGATGGATGATTTTAATTGCTACCCTCTGGCCTGGTTTTAATTGGTTTTGGTTAAACATTATTCTTAGTGGTATATCACTGGTCTGTCCATTTGCTGTACAGAGGTAACCTGTGGTTGCTGTGATGCTAAACACTGTGACACTGATGTGTCAAATGTGATAATGGTTACCAATAGTGGACAGTGTTTGGTGGAGCGCCCCAGTTAAAACAAGCTAGGAAGAAAGAGTGGCATCCACTTCTGATATAGCTTGCCTCTGAAAACTCTGTGAACATGGAGAAACAATGAAAGTCATAGAGTCACTAGGAGTTGTCTACAACTTGACAGCACCTAACAACAACAACATTAGCGGCTGCCAAATTGAGAGTGACTCAGGGTGATATTGTTACTACAGAAAATATTACTCAATTCTGCATCATCCTTAAGATCATTAATATGTTTAAGTTCAGCATTGTGGCTCTTAATGCTTCATCATATTCTTCATCAGGGATTTCTCATACTTTCATTGGTCCTCTACCAGAAATGAACTTTTATTAAATTGATTCTTCCTGATCAAATGTCCAAAGCTATTGAGTTTTCTCTTGGCTAATTTTTAGACGTTGATCGCCATGCTTTTTTTCCCTAGTTATTCTTAGTCTGTAAATGCTGCAAAACCCAGTCTTCTACAGATGGAACAAACAGTCTCTCAAATGTAATGTCTAGCAACAGAGACCAGTAATGAAAATCACATGATTCCATTTGCTGGAAGTTGCTCCCAAAGGACAAAACTGACTTACGATGCTGGAAGTTGTCTTTTAGGGAATGGTGACTGGCATAGGACCTCATAGGGATTCCTAAGGTTGCAGGGGGGTTATATGCATCCCTTCCTTTTGGAGGAATTCATCAAGAGTTATGTTTTTCTGTACTTTTTCTATTTATGAGGGTGCAGTAGTTTAAGTACTGAGTTGGAGGTTTGAGCCTATCAAAGGAAGACTTTGCTCTCTGATTCTATACAAATAGGTTACAAAATCCTGTGGGACATTTCTACTCTATATTGAATTTGCTTGATGGCAGCAGGTTTGATTTTTTAATATGTGAGAGGGGGAAAGTATATGAAAAATATGTAAACTATATGTAATAGATAAGACTTAGTGTTGAATTTGAACTAAAAGAGTGTAAAGCTTTATATCCTGCCCATAATTTATTTTAGGTTGCCATATTGTTTTCAAGCTGTTTTAACCAGTGGTTCACCCCCTTCCCCGGTGATAGAATATAAATAAATATTTTACTTTTTTATTATGTGTGCTGTTTTAATCAGAGAGCTCTGGTCATGTGGTCTGTAAGGAGTTTGACTTCTAACCCAAATGCTGTTACTGTTATTCACCAGTGGCTCCTCTGGAGAAAGATAGGCAGTTTCATCTTGTGTCGTTTACAGACTCTGAAAACCTGCTTGGAGGGTCTGTTCCACCTTGAAGCAAATGAGAGAGAGTGTGTCTTAGTTGTTAGGTGCCTATGAGTTGAGTATACCTTTTAGAGATCTGTTGTCTTCTATGAACAACAGATCTGAACCCTGTCCTACGCTGTGCCATCCTCCTCGTCTCTGACACACTCCAGCCCATTGCTGCAGTCAGTAGTTATCTTTTCAAGACCTTTAAGGTGAAATTAATATTAAAGACGTAACACGTTTGCAGTTAAACTTAAAATTTCTTATGAAAGTAATTGTTAAAACAACAGCATAATAAAATGATAAAATAGAAGATTATTTTAATAACAACAAGCTTAACATTAGATACTAGGTCTGAATTTAGGGGATACTGGTTTAAATTTAGAATATCAATCCCTGTTACAGAAAAGATGTATTTAGTAGCTATTTTTTAATTTAATAATTCTAAGTTATTTTTAGAATATGTCTGCTGCCTTCTTTCTGTTCTACAAACTTGCTATTCTGCATCAGCATTGTTCTCACAGAGAAGGCTCTTTTTGGTGTGCAAGAAAAGTTTTCAGACTTGTTCCTACATTTTTTTTTTTGCTTTCTACTAATTTTTTTAAACTCCCCTCATGTTTTTCTATTTATGCATTGTAAATAAAATCTATAGCATAAAGAGGCTACAACAAAGAGGAGGAAATTCTTCGATCATTTTAGAGAAATCTTGATTTGTCAAACAGTATGTTCTGTAAGAGATCATATTGAATTGGTGTGATTTCCCTGTGTCTTAAGTAGATTTTTTTGTGGGCTTTGCTAAACTCAACCAGATAAACATAGATAAATATTTTTCATAGGTTTGTATTATTTTATTCTCTTGCATTATGTTTTATTTAAAAAAATAGAATCCAAATATAAGGGGAAATGGCAGAAAACAGTATCAAGATTCTCCTAATCAGAAGAAAAGAACAAATGGAGTCCACACTCAGCCATCAAAGCAGCAGAATCCCTTGATGGTAAGATTTAAGTCTCCTGTGCTAAACTGACATTTAGGCTTCTTAAGTGATGTACATATTTGTCAAGGCACATTAATGTTACTTGCTCCCATTTTTAAATAATACACGGAAGATATTTATGGTGCTAAATGTATACGATTATGTTTATGCACTAAAACTTCCTTTAGTCAATTAAAATTTTATGCTTAACCTGATGTTGCTTTAATTATATACCTAATCTTTGCTTTTTTATGTGGATGTTTACATTTATTTTAATGCCATGAAAAATATATGCAGTAAGCTCTTTTTAAGAGTAATTCCTTGTCTGTTCTGTGTTGTTAATAGTTTTTATCTTTTCATGGAGTGGAAGGCTGTATTTTTTTCTCTTCAAGTTTATAGTGTTTGACAGTTAAAACGATAATAACAAAGTACTCATAGTCAAAGCCATAGGCATTAGACAAGGCCTAAAAAGACATATCTGTTATGTACAACAGAGCACACTTAGGTTAGACTAGCAGGTATTGTGCTAGAGGAAGAGCCTTGTGTTGAGAATCATAAAAGAGGAGGAACAGTTGCAAACAGACCCTAGTGATTGGAAAGTGGAATGTGAGAAGTAGGAATGTAGGAAAATTGGAGATTGTTAAGGAAGAAATGGAACATAGAAACATTGACATACTAAGCATTGGTGAAATGAAACGGACTGCTGGCTTGGGACATTATGAATCACAATAATATGATCAGTATGTTGAAAATGAAAAGATAAGGAAAAGCAGGGTCACATTCATAGTTAAAAAGACCATTTCTAGATCCATCTTGAAATACAATGTTGTGAGTGACAGGATAATACTCATACGAGGAAGACTTGTTCATACCACTGACATTCAGATTTATGCACCAACAACCAGAGCCAAAGAAGAGTAAATAAATGATATCTACCAAGTGTTGTAGTCAGAAATCAATTGAACATGCAACCAAGATACATTAGTGACATTAGTAAATACATTAGTGACTCAAATGCAAAAGTTGGGAATAAGGAAGAAGAATGTGTAGTTGGGAAACATACACTTTGTGACAGAAATGAGGCTGGTGATAGACTTCTGTATAATCTATGATTTATTAATTGCAAATACATTTTATAAGAAACATAAGTGGCGACTGTATACATGGATCTTATCTGATGTCCTAAATAGGAATCAGATTGATTTTATATATGTTGTTGTTGTTGTT